TCAACACCCTATATCAGGTGTGCATAATTATTAGGCAACGTCCTTTCCTTTGGCAAAATGGGTCAAAAGAAGGACTTGACAGGCTCAGAAAAGTCAAAAATAGTGGGATATCTTGCAGAGGGATGCAGCAGTCTCAAAATTGCAAAGCTTCTGAAGCGTGATCATCGAACAATCAAGCGTTTCATTCAAAATAGTCAACAGGGTCGCAAGAAGCGTGTGGAAAAACCAAGACGCAAAATAACTGCCAATGAACTGAGAAAAGTCAAGCATGCAGCTGCCAAGATGCCACTTGCCACCAGTTTGGCCATATTTCAGAGCTGCAACATCACTGGAGTGCCCAAAAGCACAAGGTGTGCTATTGCACACCTTGTGATGTCAGAGACATGGCCAAGGTAAGAAAGGCTGAAAGACGACCACCACTGAACAAGACACACAAGCTGAAACGTCAAGACTGGGCCAAGAAATATCTCAAGACTGATTTTTCTAAGGTTTTATGGACTGATGAAATGAGAGTGAGTCTTGATGGGCCAGATGGATGGGCCCGTGGCTGGATTGGTAAAGGGCAGAGAGCTCCAGTCCGACTCAGACGCCAGCAAGGTGGAGGTGGAGTACTGGTTTGGGCTGGTATCATCAAAGATGAGCTTGTGGGGCCTTTTCGGGTTGAGGATGGAGTCAAGCTCAACTCCCAGTCCTACTGCCAGTTTCTGGAAGACACCTTCTTCAAGCAGTGGTACAGGAAGAAGTCTGCATCCTTCAAGAAAAACATGATTTTCATGCAGGACAATGCTCCATCACACGCGTCCAAGTACTCCACAGCGTGGCTGGCAAGAAAGGGTATAAAAGAAGAAAAACTAATGACATGGCCTCCTTGTTCACCTGATCTGAACCCCATTGAGAACCTGTGGTCCATCATCAAATGTGAGATTTACAAGGAGGGAAAACAGTACAACTCTCTGAACAGTGTCTGGGAGGCTGTGGTTGCTGCTGCACGCAATGTTGATGGTGAACAGATCAAAACACTGACAGAATCCATGGATGGCAGGCTTTTGAGTGTCCTTGCAAAGAAAGGTGGCTATATTGGTCGCTGATTTGTTTTTGTTTTGTTTTTGAATGTCAGAAATGTATATTTGTGAATGTGGAGATGTTATATTGGTTTCACTGGTAAAAATAAATAATTGAAATGGGTATATATTTGTTTTTTGTTAAGTTGCCTAATAATTATGCACAGTAATAGTCACCTGCACACACAGATATCCCCCTAAAATAGCTAAAACTAAAAACAAACTAAAAACTACTTCCACAAACATTCAGCTTTGATATTAATGAGTTTTTTGGGTTCATTGAGAACATGGATGTTGTTCAATAATAAAATTATTCCTCAAAAATACAACTTGCCTAGTAATTCTGCACTCCCTGTAGACTGGTCAAGTTCTTCTATACCAAACTCGCTCATACATGTCTTTCTAGACCCTTCTTTGTGCGCTGCTGCACAGTCATGTTGGAACAGGAAGGGGTCATCTCCAAACTGTTTCCACAAAATTGGGAGCATGAAACTGTCAAAAATGTCTTGGTATGTCTGCGTGTATTTCAAAACATGTAGCTCTCCGACTTTATATCCTGTACGAGAGTTTGTCTTGTATTATGTTCAAATGTTTAATAAAAACGTGTATCACTCATTGATAAAGAAGAAAACTTTGAAGAAAACTCTGAAATTATCCCGATTAGTGAAGAGTGTGTCGTTTCCGCAGCACTATTCTTTGTTTCTATTTAATGTATTTAAATCTAGTATTGTGTAGATTCACAATGGTCAGAGGGCCCGGTGGCGCCAGTGTCCGGCAGCCTCGCCTCTGTCAGTGCGCCCCAGGGTGGCTGTGGCTACAATGTAGCTTGCCATCACCAGTGTGTGAATGTGTGTGTGAATGGGTGGATGACTGGATATGTAAAGCGCTTTGGGGTCCTTAGGGACTAGTAAAGCGCTGTATAAATACAGGCCATTTACCACTCAATGAGAATGATCATCACGTGTTCTTACATGATATTGTAAGAACTGTATTTAAATAATGTAATGGAGAGCAGAGGATCATCACACTTTTTTCATATAAATGGTAAATGGCCTGTATTTGTATAGTGCTTTACTAGTCCCTAAAGACCCCAAAGCGCTTTACACATCCAGTCATCTACACACACATTCACACACTGGTGATGGCAGCTACATTGCAGCCCCAGCCACTCTGGGGCGCACTGACAGAGGCGAGGCTGCCAGACACTGGTGCCACTGGTTTCACCCAAAACCTCTGGTGATAATGACCCACACTTTTTTTCACACCTTGGCTCATGTTATGAAGCACATGATTAATAGTGGTCAGCAATGCACTCAAATACACTAATAGTATTTTAGTGTGATTTAAAATGGGGTAGCACAGTTACCTGCAAGAAGGTCCTGAGTTCAATTCCACTATCAAGCCGGGATCTTTCTGTGTGGAGTTTGCATGTTCTCCCCATGTTTGTGTGGGTTCTCTCCGGGTACTCCGGCTTCCTCCCACCGTCCAAAGACATGCAGTTAGAGGGGATAGGTCAATTGAAAAATCTAAATTGCCCATAAGTGTGAATCCATGAGTGAATGTGAGTACGGATGGTTGTTTGTCTCTGTGTGGTAGCCCTGCGACAGACTGGCAACCTGTCCAGGGTGTACCCTGCCTCTTGCCCTAAGATAGCTGGGATAGGCTCCAGTGCCCCCCGCAACCCTGAAAAGGATAAGCTGAAGCAAATGGATGAATTTAAAATGGTCTAAAATAATTTTTAGACCATTTCACTCATTGGATTTATTTCATTTTTCTGACAAATAATATTTTGATGAGACAAAATGTTCTGATGAACAGAAAATACTTCTTTCTGTAATATTTATTCTGTATAAACAGATTATACAGGAAACACTTGGGCTGATGGATTGTAGGTTTCCAGGTTTGGCAACTAGATCAAAACGTGGCACAGCTGGCAACCTAACAAACTTTTATCCACACTCCTAAAAGGTTGATTCTGTTCATCTGGCTGAGATTTTCATCAGTAATCTGGGACATTTAAAAGTTGATGTGTACCGTAAACCTACGCATACAGATCAGAATTTAATGTTTGACTCTCTTCATCCACTGAAGCATATACTGGGTGTCACCAGGACGCTGCAACATAGAGTGAACACCATCCCTACAGACACAGTGGCCAGGGAAGCAGAAGAACATCACATCAAGAAGGCCCAGAGTAAATGTGATTCAAGATTCTTTATTTGTCACGTGCATGGCTATACAGGTATAACACACAGTGAAATGTGACCTGATACACTCCTCGACTGTGCAACGAAAAAAAGAGAAAGACAGAACTTTATATACAGTGAATGAGTATATACAAAGAGGACATTATGTGTTGCAAGTGGTACATTATATAAATAGAAATAAAATAAAATAAAACAATATGGAAAATTACATCTTGTGCACATTGTGTGGGAAGGGTGTTAAAATGTCATGTGCTATAGTGAGGCCAGAAGAATCAGGATGATATGAAAATATATGCACTGCACTACACACTGTATATAAATGCCACTTGTTTTGCACATATTCAACTCTGTATATTTTATATATTTTATTATTTTTATTATTTATTTATTTTTACTATTTAATTTGTAAAAATGTGTATACACACACACACACACACACACACACACACACACACTCGTAGGAAAATATTTAGTATACACATCCAGAAATGCATACACTATTATATATTGTACATATATTTATTAGTTTCAGGTTGGCCATTCTTGTATTTTGCTCGTTTGTGTTGTTGTGTTTGCACATCTCTGTTGCTTGTGGGGCTCGCACACAAGAATTTCACTCGCATGTGCTGTGCCAGTGTGCCTGCACATGTGATGTGACAATAAAAGTGATTTGATTTGATTTGATTTGAATATGATAATGAGTCCTGTCTCAGTCACTTAAGGATAATAGGGGGGTGGGGGGCACCCGTCCCATCCCAGCAACAGATGGGATGGGTCCTTCAAAATCTCTCACATCTCTCCACAGCACCTGTATAGAAAGTCCTGAGGATCACTGGAGAGACCCTGAACTTCCTCAGTTGTCGTAGGTTGTACAGGCACTGCCTAGCCTTTTTGGTCTGGACCTGAATGTGGGCAGACCATGTCAGGTCTGAGGAGATGTTGACACCGAGATACTTGAAGGACTGCACGCTCTCCACTGGAGCTCCATTAATGATAATGGAGGCTATCCCAGCTGGACATATATATACATATATATACATATATATACATATATATACATATATATATATATATATATATCTCTACAGGCCTTTGGAGCCGAGGATCGCAAGTTTCATTCCCGCCTGGGATGTCTGTATCCAGTAAGGGTCCTGAGGCTAGACCCCCTATGCTAAGTGAGCCTACTGCAGACATGAGCGAGACAGATTTTTTTTTATAGATATATATAACATATCAGAGGGGCTTTTAATAAGATATATATATAAAAAAACCCTCTTTACATCTGCTAATGAAAGTGAAAATGAATGAAAATAAAATGCTAGAGAAAGGGCTGTGTGGAGAGCTGTTATAAATGCATGATCTGTTGATCTGTTAGAGTTTAAGTTGAGTTTAAACTACATACATCTTATGTAATACTCAATACAAATACACTATGAACACCTTCATCTTGTTGAATTTAATATGCTGTGTGTATTATATTCTGACAAGATGAAATGTAAATGTAACTGATTTTGTTCAATAATGAGTTTGAGTGGGTTTTATTTCTTTTATGTCAGTTTTGATTTCGTTGTTAGTTATTATTTTGTTTTGTTTATGACTTTGAATAAATAAAGTTTGGAGGAAAAAACACCAGTGGTTGTTATCCTGCTGGGATTTGTGGTTCATTAAATACTTGGTGTTGATTTTTAAATTCACTTCTGGAACCTTATGAAGTGGAGTCAGCTTTGGATACCATGGGAACCATTGGTGCATCTCTCAGAGTTCAGTGAAGGCAAGCATTAAGCAGGACCAAAACAAATGTCCCTCACATGCCAAGGGTAAGAAAAAAACTGGTGGTCAGTGGTAGTTTTAGTAAATCAAAGGACATTCAGTGTTTTTTTTTCCTTTTAATTGTGTTATTTTCAATTGAATTCATGTTTCAGGTCCAGTTTATCTTTAAAACTAGGCACAAACACGAGACGAAATGTCTGTAAATTTGTAGTATCTAACTTGATTATCTTTCTTATTGCTACTTTAAAGTATTTAATCATATTTTCAAGCTAAATTTTAAAGGTACATATGTTGTTTTTCATTTATGTGCTTGGATGAGAAGTCTTAACATCATTGTTGTTTTTAAGGCAGTATTTGGATAATTTTTCTCTAAACTTATTATCTTTATGTTTGTCAGAGCTGATTCACTGAGTAACACCAGCAGCCAAATGCTCACAGTGGCAGAGGTAAGTCACTTTAACGTGACACATTAGATAAGGAAGAGACATGGCATTCCAAGTGTAACCCACCTAAAATTGCCTCATGAAAATTAACTGCTGATCCCGAGGAATGCCAGGTAGGTGGCACTATGAGATTATGTAGTGCTTGTGAATTTAAATAGCGAAGGAAAACGACGTTAAGGCTGTATCCCAATTCGGGGTCTGCAGCTTTAAAGTACGCAGCCTTAACGGTCCTCAAGGTCCGCGTACTCAAAGACCGTTAAGGCCGGAAGTGCGAGGCTTGGAAACGTTTCATACAGCTTTGTTTGACAGAAATGAAGGAGAACATATTTTGTACATTTGTTTCTACATGAGCTCTGTGTGATTTGATAAGAATCTGAGGCTGAGACCACAGGACTGTACAAACATGATTGTTGGGCTTCATTTCTGTACTGAACAGTCATTTTAAGATTAGCTAGTAAATAACAATTAGATAGTGTTGTTCATGAGACTAAAATCATCTCACTTTGGTAATGTAACTATAATATGGCCAATATTATAGTTATTATATTAATCATTATTAGTTATTACAGCAGTGAGTTTGAACTCTGTGTCAAATACTGAGCTTCAGTAAAGATTCAAGTTGCAGTTATTTATTTATATCACCTTAAATCTTCACTCAAAGACAAGTATCTGTTACAGTGTATATATAGATGTATCATACATAAGAGACAAATGTTGTTCTTTTAATGTGTTGGCATTACTAAATTTGGCTCAGTGCTTACATATATGTGTAAAAAGAAAATGTACGAGCTGTGATAACTGTTTCTGATAGAATGAAGAGTAGACTTTGCTGCTCTTAACTTTTTACTGTCCACTTTCTGCTGTGAACAAACAAATTTCCTATGTGTGGGACTAATAAAGGTTTATCTTATCTTATCTTATGTGAAGGTGAAAGGTAAACTTCACAGTGACATAAAAATGTTCCCAAAGGGGCCAGGGGAACAGTTAATTTAGCATTTTTGGCATTACAGGTACAGCCAGGATATATTTTTACTTACCTTTCACTAAAATTGCAGTTTCCCTGCTGACTCCAATTATGGAATCAGATGGGGAAGCACAGAGTTTCCGTTGTTGAATAGTGGGTTTGTGTATGCATTTGGTGACGTGTGAACAGGATTACTTTGCTTACTTGTAAATAGCCTGTTTAAGTTACATATAAATGGGTAAAAAACATGTATAATTAATATGCAAAATATTGTTGGGGTAATGAGCATGCTGACTGCATCAAAACATCTTCTGACTACAAACACGTTTTTCATCCCTCACCTGGCGGGAGGAGTTTATGAAAGAAGGACACAACAACTCTTCAGTAATTTCCCATTTCCACTTTTTCACAACACCTCAGTCTTTGTAAGGAGGAAGTCTATCAGATCAAATGGTTGTAGATTGTTGTTACTCTGTCCATCTCTTCTTTCTCTTTATATACAGACCGGGAAAATGCAAAGAAGACCTCACCATAAGAAGGGGGTAGATTCAACTGAAGAACAGCTGGATCTGCGCACAAAAGTTCACACCAAACGATACCTCTGTGAGCAGTGTGGGAAAATGTTCAAAACACTATTAAGTTTGAAGGTCCATCAGCGTCTGCACACTGGACAAAAACCCTATTCTTGTGATCAGTGTGGCCAGAGCTTTGCCCAGTTAGTTCATCTTCAGGTGCATCAGTTTGGGCACAGTGGAAAAAAACCATTCCTCTGTGAAGAGTGTGGAAAGACCTTCACTCACCGAAGTCCTTTGAAAAGACACCAATACACCCACACAGGAGAAAAACCATTCCCCTGTGATGAGTGTGGAAAAAGGTTCTCTCACTTAGGGAACTTGAAAATGCACCAGCGTATTCACACAGGAGAAAAACCATTCCCCTGTAATAACTGTGGAAAACGCTTCGTCCAAGCAATTCATTTACAGAAACACAAGTGCATGCCACAGGTGTAGGAAGCATCCTGCCCTACATCGGCACTTCCACAAATGTTTATCAACCCATTAAAATAATTTGCAAGCATATTAACATGTTGTCATTCTAATTTCATTTTCAAATGAAAGCCAATGACAGGGAGATGTTTTCTTTCTGTGCCAGCGATCTGTGTCAGCTGATCCCTGCAACCGTGCACTTACGTCTTAGATCAAATAAACTAAGCTGAAACCATTAAATAACTAACCAGCCTGTGCCAGCGATCTGTGTCAGCTGATCCCTGCAACCGTGCACTGAAGTTTTAGATCAAATAAACAAAGCTGAAACCATTAAATAACTAACCAGCGATCTGTGTCAGCTGATCCCTGCGACCGTGCACTGAAGTTTTAGATCAAATAAACTAAGCTGAAACCATTAAATAACCAACCAGCCTGTGCCAGCGATCTGTGTCAGCTGATCCCTGCGAACGTGGACTGAAGTTGTAGATCAAATAAACAAAGCTGAAACCATTAAATAACTAACCAGCGATCTGTGTCAGCTGATCCCTGCGACCGTGCACTGAAGTTTTAGAGAAAATAAACTAAGTTGAAACCATTAAATAACTAACCAGCCTGTGCCAGGAATCTTTGTCAACTGATCCCTGCAACCGTGCACTGAATTTTTAGAGAAAATAAACTAAGTTGAAACCATTAAATAACTAACCAGCGTGTGTCAGGGATCTGTGTTAGCTGATCCCTGCAAACTGTGCACTGAAGTTTTAGAGAAAATAAAGTAAGCTGAAACAATTAAATAACTAACCAGCCTGTGCCAGGGATCTGTGTCAGCTGATCTTTGCGACCATGCACTGAAGTTTTAGATCAAATAAACTAACCTGAAACCATTAAATAACTAACCAGCCTGTGCCAGCGATCTGTGTCAGCTGATCCCTGCAACCGTGCACTGAAGTTTTAGATAAACTAAGCTGAAACCATTAAATAACTAACCAGCCTGTGCCGCGATCTGTTCAGCTGATCCCTGCGAATCGTGGACTGAAGTTTTAGATCAAATAAACTAAGCTGAAACCATTAAATAACCAACCAGGCTGTGCCAGAGATCTGTGTCAGCTGATCCCTGCAACCGTGCACTGAAGTTTTAGATCAAATAAACTAAGCTGAAACCATTAAATAACTAACCAGCCTGTGCAGGATCTGTGTCAGCTGATCCTGCACCGTGCACTGAAGTTTTAGATAAATAAACTAAGCTGAAACCATTAAATAACTAGCCAGCCTGTGCCAGCGATCTGTTTCATCTGATCCCTGCAACCGTGCACTGAAGTTTTAGATAAATAAACTAAGCTGAAACCATTAAATAACTAGCCAGCCTGTGCCAGCGATCTGTTTCATCTGATCCCTGCAACCGTGCACTGAAGTTTTAGATAAACTAAGCTGAAACCATTAAATAACTAACCAGCCTGTGCCAGCGATCTGTGTCAGCTGATCCCTGCAACCGTGCACTGAAGTTTTAGATAAACTAAGCTGAAACCATTAAATAACTAACCAGCCTGTGCCAGCGATCTGTTTCAGCTGATCCCTGCAACCGTGCACTGAAGTTTTAGATAAACTAAGCTGAAACCATTAAATAACTAACCAGCCTGTGCCAGCGATCTGTGTCAGCTGATCCCTGCAACCGTGCACTGAAGTCTTAGATCAAATAAACTAAGCTGAAACCATTAAATAACTAACCAGCCTGTGCCAGCGATCTGTGTCAGCTGATCCCTGCAACCGTGCACTGAAGTTTTAGATCAAATAAACTAAGCTGAAACCATTAAATAACTAACCAGCCTGTGCCAGCGATCTGTA